TCCTGTAGTGCCGCCTTTGCTATTGCTGTGTCTGCAGCCCTGAGCTGCAGTTTAAACAGTGTCAGCTTCTAGGAGGTGAAGGATGACTGGACAATGCTTGCTTAGCATTTGATAAATGGAGGTGGAATAGAAGTAGGAGGAGCATGGGTGGGCAAGGAGAGGAAAGGAAGGTTAGTTCCTAGAATAGTCAGCTTCTCTTTCCACTGGGATAGGGCGTTAGAGCCCCCAAATAACCAGATGAGTACTGGGGAGGATGTACTTGCAGCCTGGGTGATACACCTTTTACCCTCAGGCCTTCTAGGACCTCAACCCCAGGCTAATGGGGTCTCAGTGTAGGCACGCTAAGGGTGCTGCTCAGTAGGGTAAACTGAGCCTGTGCTGGCATCTACTGGCCAGGCCCTAGGAAACATGGCAGAGGCAGTAGGATTTTTCATGTCAGCGGAAGCTGCAGGTAGAGTTAGACCTTGTGACTAGAAAATATCCTGTCTAATGACAGGTGGGTAAGATGTTCACAAAGCTGTGGCAGTGTTTGAAGTTGTGGGTGCTTGAGATGTCCCTGGCATCCTGGGTCCCATTGTTGCTATTTCCCCTTCCAGCTTGGATCACTCGGGCCACGGCTGCCCACCTCTGTGCAGACTCCTGTCTAACAAGTCTAGTAGGTTTCTGTCCAGTTCCTAAAGCCTCCAGGGATAAGAAAAGGTTCCATCCAATACTAGGTGTGATCCCCTACAAGAGAATGAACCCTTTCCATCGGACAGTTAGTTATAGTCTCCTGGAGTCCATCATCAGCAAAGCTCAGCTGTCCTGGGTAGCCCCAGCCTCTCTTTCCTTCGCTCTACTGTGATGACTGCCCCACTCTGGGCTTAGCTCACAGACCCTGACAGCAGCCACAGAAATGTTCTGCTGAGCTCTGAGCTCAGGACATTTCCTAGGGCCAATGTGGCAGGGAGGGAGTGAGCTCTTGAGATGAAAGTCCTTCCAGGGGCCTTTGCATGTAACTTTTCATTGAGCTTCCACATAGGGCTACTGATAGGTCTTGTGACAGTAAGAAATCAAAGCTCCAGGAGGTTAAGTAACTAGTACCAGGCCCAGGGTTAGGAGGAGTTAGATCCTCAGTACAGACTCAGGTCTGTCTGGATCCAGGGTCTGGGACTCTAGCAGAGGGTAGAGTCTGTAGTCTGTAGTTTCCTTACCCCCTGGTCCAGGTCACAAGAAGCTTCTGTTGATTGTGAGCTACACGATCTGGGATAGAGACTGCTGGACCTGAATTGTTATAGTACCTGCTCTCTGCATCTGAAAAACTGGGATGAGTTCTATCCAAAGTCTAGGGATGGAGGATGTAATTGTGGTCCTCTTGGAACCAGTCTGAGGCTGAGTATTGCCCTTTTCAGCAGACCCCTTTGTGATGGTTACTTAGGATGCCAATTTGCCACAAAATGTGACACCTTCTGGGGCATCTCAGTAAGGAATTATTCCAATCAGGTTGAGCTATATGACTGTATGGGGATTGTCTTTATGGTTTACTGAGGCAAGAAGACCCACCCTGAGTGTGGGTGGCACCATTTCCTAGGTCGGGCCCTGGGTTGTCTGAGGAGAGAAAGCTAGTTGAGTGCATAGCAAGAAACAAACGAGCAAGGATACATCCTCTGACTGTGGATTCGATGCTTTGAGTTCCTGCTCTATCTGCCCTACAATAATGGTCTGTAACCTGGAATCATAAGCTGAAACAACCCTTTCACCCCTCAGTCATTTCGCCAGAATATTTTATCACAGCAACAGACTTGCCAAGAGAAACAACTCTTTCTCCTCTCTGTTTCCTGTTAGAACGTCTCCCAACCACCTTGCGTAGGGTGAGGATGTGAAAGGCACCAGGACCCCAGAAGGATTTGGTGTGAGGACACTGATCTCACATCCGGGGTGTTTTAGTAGTATCAGCTTAGAGTCGGGACTATGGCGTTAGAATCCCTAAGCTTCCCAACTCCTGGAGACATCATTATGTGACTCCTGACAGGGCACTGTGCTGAGGGCCATTCACATAGGGCCCTTAACACTTCCAGTGAAGGAAGTTCTGATAGGGTGGGGGCAGAGCATAAGGGGAAGGGGTACAGACTTGTCAGTGAGGTGCCTTCCAGGCCACCAGCATTGTGAGAGTGAAAGGATGCTATGCGAACATATTTAATTAGCAGTAAGATGCTGTGTGCATGTATCTAACTAGTGGGAGGATGCTATGTGGATGTATCAAACTAATGGAAGGATGCTATGTGGACATATCTAACTAGCAGAAGAATGCTATAACTAGCAGAAGGATACTATGTGGATGTGTTTAAATAGCCTTTGCTTTCCTGGAGCTTCAGAACAGACATCTCATGGGACAAAACACTGGATTCAGCTCACATTCACTTCACTGCATCCCATCCAGTCCCTGATGACTGGCAATTGCTTGGGGGAATGAGTTATCTACACCACTGGTATTCTAGTGGATGGCAGTTGCAAGGGTTTGAAGTGAAGTTTTTGTTATTATTGAAATAATAATAACAACATTATTATTATTAAAACCATTTCTCATCCCTGAGATGATGCTCTGAAATTAAAAGAAAAATTTAAAAAGCCAAACAAGGAAAAAGTGGGAAAAAAACAATCAAAACTCCAAACTGGATGTGGGCTTCTGAAATTCCCACTTCAAAGAGCAGGAGATTCAGGCAACATGGCCCTGTGCTCTGTTCCCCTCAAGCCTCAGCGTCACATTTTTTTCTTTTCAGGAAGTCTCCTTATGATGCTGCATGGAGGGCTGGAGTCAAGGCAAGAGGGGAGTTTGTTTAATGCGGGTTCCCTGGGAACCTGTCAAACTCCCAAAAACACATTGATTTTTGCTACCCTCAGAGGCTGGGACCCAGTAGGGAAGACAGCTGTGGTATGGGAAACAAACCTGAGTGCAGAGAGGAGTGTCAGACGCTCAGACATGGCAGGGGCAGAGAGGAAGCATGGCCGTGAAGGTAACATTTGGAGGAGAATGACAATCACACGGCCACGGGTGCCAGCATCAATGAATGGGTTACCAGGCAGGGTAGGGACACTGGTGGGTGTCTGCTTCACCCAGAGGGGACCTGCTGACTTGCTCCTGCTGACTGGTGTTGTCACATCTACTGATTCCCCACCCCCACTCCCCGCAGGAAATCTATTTTTGTATAAAATTGTCTTAATAAACAAAATAAACCACCAGGATGCAAAACAGGCATGCAGGCTTCTAGTGTGTGAACTCTGACTGAGGGGCAGAGATGTGCTCAGAGAGCAGGAGACTTAGCATGGTTAGCTTGACCACAGAGTGTCTATGTTCCAGGAGCTCTAGGGTCCTCTTGCCGTGAGGAAGACCACCATCCCCATGCTTCTTCCAGACTCCAGAGAGCACCAGGTGTTCTCAAGTGTGACAGGAAGCCTGAGGACGGGCCTCCAGATGAAGCTAATTAGAGCAGATGCACATGTGGAGTGGGCTCTGATGACTGTGTCTGGGGATCTGCTCTTGCTCATACCAGGCCTGGAGGGAAGCCTCTATTGACAGGGGCTGTTGTCCTACTCTCAGTCTTTGGAAACAGTTCAGCTGGCCCCCTTGATACAGTGCCACAGGCTGAGCACCTCGGGAATAGTCTTGGAGACATGTGGGAGTTCCCAAGCTGAGTTTCTGCCCTGCTCCTGACCGTGTTCCCTTGGGTGCCTCTGGGATTTCAGACCAATGACAACCATCGCCTCCTGCAGGCCACTTTATGACACTCAGCAGACTCAGTCATCCTCATTGGTGACTTCCCCTCTACACCGCCCCCTCCCAGACTTGGGGCAAATGGGCTTCTTCCTAGCCACGATGCCAGGCATTGTTAGATTTTTCGGTATAAGGAACAGAGATGGAACCTAGATTGATGACCAGGGTCTGGTAACTCTTCCTAAGCTCCTGGGTCACTTATTAGCTTATTACAGTTCGGATACAATGTGTCCCCTCAAAAGACTCATGTGTTGTGCTTACTTCCACAGCAAATGTACTAAAAAGGCTCCTATGTAGAAGGGTGTAGAAGGCTTGGCCCACACCTGATGGATCCAATCATTGAGAAGTGACTGAAGCATGAGGACTCTGACTAAATCAGTATTAGTCAAATTATCTGACAACATTACTGGAGGCTGCTGGAAACTTGGAAGTGGGGCCTGATTGAAGGCAGTAGTCTGTGTGTGTGTGTGTGTGTGTTTTGCTTTTGAAGGGCGTATCTTGTATGTGGTCCCTTCCTGTTTCTCTCTGCTCCCCAGCTGAGCTGCCATGAGATAAGCAGCCCTGCTCCATGACACTCTCCCTGTCTGTCTGCCTGCCTCAGGTGGAAACTACGGACTGAATCCTCTGAAACCACAAACCAAAGTAAACCCTCTCTCCCTTAGGTGTTTTTTTCAGGTGTACTGAAAAGAATCTTCTCCACAGTGGGCTCAGTCTTTTTTTTTTTTTTTTTTTTTTTTTTTTTTGGTTTTTCGAGACAGGGTTTCTCTGTGGCTTTGGAGGCTGTCCTGGAACTCGCTTGGTAGTCCAGGCTGGTCTCGAACTCACAGAGATCCACCTGCCTCTGCCTCCCGAGTGCTGGGATTAAAGGCGTGCGCCACCAACGCCCGGCTGGGCTCAGTCTTTGAGACCACCATTTGCCTGGGAAATTTCTCCATTCTCACAGGGGCATTCCCAACTAGGATGAATATAGAAAACCCCACAAAAGTTGGGGCTTTCAGCGGGGTTCATGGAGCCCCAACCTTTCCTTAGGATCTAAAATCAGCTAACGGTTGGTGAGGAAGAAACATCTTTTTTTCAGTGATGTAGCCATTGGTAAATTTCCCATGCTCCTGTAAATAGACCTAATTAAACCGAGTCTCTCTCTCTCTCTCTCTCTCTCTCTCTCTCTCTCTCTCTCTCTCTCTCTCTCTCTCTCTCTCTCTCTCTCACACACACACACACACACACACACAAAAGAAAGAAAAAGGCATGAGAGTAGAAGGAGGATTAGTTGAGATGAGTAAGGGGAATCAGCAGGAGGAGGGGCCAAGAGAGGGTGATGAGGTATTAATACATGATATATATTAATCAAAATACATTATATATGTATAAAATGTCATAATGAAACCCACCATTATGTATAATTAACATATGCTAGTAAAAACATTTAAAAAATGAAAAGAAAAAGAACCAAAAGGCATCAGGACCCCAGACCTCTTTCCAAAATCTTCCATGGGTTGGAGCAAGCCTACTCTACCCTGCCTTCTGTGGAGCAGACAGATGGGGCAGCCCTTGAGACTGGATTTCCATGGCACTTCTAAGATGGCAGCAGGAAGGCCTGATAGTGAGTCCCTGTCACATGGTGAGCCTGTTTCACAGAGTTCCTGACCCTTGCATGTCCCAGCAGAAACAGGAATGACAGCAGAGCCTCAGGCAGGTGTGTGAGTTTAAGTGTTCATGGCAGGAAGTCAGATCTGATCAGCTTGGGGCCCAGGCCTTAAGCAATGTTGGCCTGAGGTTAGCCAAGACCCCTCCATCACCTCGGTTTGTTTGCTGGGGACCACTGAAAGAGGAGAGGTAAATGCTAATGGCGGTTGGGGTGCAGGGCAGGCAGGTGGGCAGAGTCAGGTCACATGAAAATCCCAGTTGACTCATGAGTACCGAAGGACACAGCCTCAGCACACTGCCTAGCTGGCCTGTGGGGGACAGAATGATGGGATGCAGTGGTTTCCAAGGGCTTTAGTTTACCACATCACCAAGGTGCTGTGCCATTTTCATTTATGCATTGAAGAGATCCCTTCATGATAGTCTGCTGGATGGCACATTATTGACTTGTCTTAAAGATAGGCTCTCATCTCAGACGATGCAGTGTTCTGCCTCCCTCCCTGGTCAAGAGGATCGAGTGGATTGGTGAGAGCTAGTGGGGTCTGAAGTTCCTAACAGAGAGTGCCCCCAGCTTTTCCATCTTGCCCCATTTTTGCTCCAACATCTACTCTCTGCTTTAATAAAACCTTACTCTATTACCTAGCACATGGTCACTCCAGCCATCTTTGTTTTAAAGTTCCAGCTTCCTCAAATGACCTTTGTTCTCCTTTCTAGGTACATATGGAAACCCCATTCCAAAGGAAGGGTCATGAACACTTGTTCCCATAGGTTTCACAAACTGTAGTAACACAAATTCCTGCTTTGTAACTCTGAAAAGCCCTCCTTTGTTCATTGGCTTCCCTGCCTGACCTGTAAAATGACGGTGGTGGTTAAGCCATTTGCTCAATAAATAAGTATTGAACAACCTGTTCTGTACAGGGCCCAGCTGAATCTGTTGTTCAGTGTTGGTTAAAAGACATGGCCTGGTGCCTGGCACGCACCAGGTTGTCAATAAATGCTGGCTTTCTTTCACAAGTCTCCGTTTTGGAAGGAGAAACGGGTGACAGGTGGAGGTGGGAGAAGTGGGGACAGAGAAAGGGGACTCAAGAGGGGGTGTGGAGGGCAGGGTCCGCTGCTTCTTTAATTCCCACTCCAACCCCTTCCCCTGCTAACAGGGCCTGGCTCTGTTCTTGTCTTTGAATGGTGTGCCCTGCCTTCTGCCCTGGCTTCATCAAACCACCTCTTGCCAACTACATAGTTGACCCCTTGTCCCCACATCTAGAAAACAGGGACAAGGATCTTCCTTATTCTCGGGCACTCAAGGACACTGCAGTGTGCCTATCCTACCAAAGCGGTGTCAGCCCAGGAGCCTCCAGCCCTGAGGCATGTTTCTGAGTGGCTTCCTCACCAAACTGGCCCCCTGGCTTCTGATATTTTCCCCCTAGGCATCCTGGCAAGGATGGACTCAGTAAACACCTCTGACTTGTCAAGGCTGAAACTTCATTCTTCTCTCCTGTCCAGCTTCTAGACATCCTAAACCAGACTCTCACAGAGGAGAGAGAGCCTGTGTATGTGCACGTGGGAGTGTATGCATGTATATGTCTGTGCATGCATGCACGTGAAGCAATGTGAGATCTGACATACTGGAGGTCTTCAGTGTTGGCTGAATGAATGAATGCACAGTGGATGTCCCTGCTGCCAGGGGGCTCATTAATATATTTGACAAATATTTATCAAATCTATGATCCATTCAGTTTCAGGCTGAGACAGGGCCTCTGATATACAGGTTGACAGTATCCAAGTTCTCCTCAAACAGAAGGTTCACCGGCTTCCTCCTTCCAACACATTTCTTACCATTCAAGGCTTGCCTGGTTCTTGGGTCACCTAATGTCTATACTTATGCTAGCACATATTTGAGTGCTAAGAAGCTGAGTTTGGTGTTGAATACTTTTTCCCTAACTCATATTGTATGTCCTTTAGTAAGTGACTTAACTTCTCTGAACCTCAGTTTCCCCATATGGAAAACAGGCACAAGTTAAAACGACATATCTTGTAATTTCTGTAAGAAATGAATGTGATAAGGCACATGCTTACACAATTCCAGTGCATAGTATGTGCTCATTAAATGGAGCTATTTATTATGCTCAGCCTCCTCTCTGTTACAAGTGCTGGCTTGGGTCCCTCCTACTTCCTCCAGAGCACCTACAGCACAAGAAAGTGCACTCATCAGGTGGAGGTGAACTCTTAACTTCCCAGAAGCAGATCTGCTCCCCAGGAGAAAAGTCAGACACCAGCAGAGGCCTGGAGGCAGGGAGGAGTAGGAGGATAGCTGACCTGGTGGAGGAGGGGCCCAGGATGGCTTTGTGTGCTCTAAGGGTGGGAGCGTCTGCTCTGATGGTTAGGATGCCTTTTCTCCCTGGGTGGACATGGTCTGTGTTTCCAGTCTTAAGATGTCCTGGCAATCCTATCCCACTGTTAGTGAGTTCCGGATCTGGTGAGTAGGCTAAGAGCTTTCTGGGTCTTCACCATGGTGGACCTGTATCTGCTTCAAAACCAGGACACACTCATTCTACACCCCACCTGGGCATAAGTGGTTGAGGTTATCTGTGACCTACCAGTCATATGAACCTGGGTCAGAGGAGGGATTTAAGAAGGGGGAAAAAAAGCCCTCACTCAGGGCTCTCAGAGACCCTAGCCCTGGGTCTCAGTTTCATCCCCCTGTGAAATGAGAATTGCTTTCTAGGTTTCATCTCCATAATGGTTGAAAGGATAAGAAAAACAATCTCACCGCTGTTGAGGGAAAAACCAGTCTCAGAGGGAGAATGGGAGGAACAGCTCGGGGAGAACAAGACCATGCTGGCCCACTGGCCTGAGCTAGCCCCAGCTGGCCATACTGGACTTCTATGCTGGTGGCTGCACCACACTGGCTTTGTAGGGCTCTGACCTCACCACACTTGGGACAGCTCTCGTCCTATGGTACTGTAGGTCTGCTAGATTCCCCAGTCATGTCCTTGTATTCCTTCTAGACTAGCCTGCTAGTCCCCACTCTGGGATTACACAGCACCTCTCTGAGCAGGGGCAGCAGGGGCTAGCAGATCCCAAGGCCCCTCCTGGTGGGCTGTGGTTCTGCATTAATAGGAATGTGCTCCAGCAAGGCCTCAGGACTGACACTCTCAGCTCTCAGCAGTTCTCAGACCTTACCCCTCTGCTCCAGGCAAGGTAATGAGTCACACTGTGGCCATCTTCTGGTCTCAAGCTGTTTGTAGGGTCAAACCTACATGATGCTTCTGGCTCAGGATGGCTTCTGACCTTGGAAATGGCTTCCACCCAGCCCCTCTGCCCTGGAAGTCACTGGAGATGTGGGCTGGCCCACACTGACCACACTAGGCATGTGGTGCATCCAATTATCTCGTGTACACTCACCACTTGCTGGATTCCTGTGACTGCTACTGAGGTGGCGAAGACTAACAGATCCATTTTACAGGGGAAGCAGAAAGGTTCAAGGAGGCAAATGGATTCTCCCAAGGTGATACAGCTGCTGTCTAACAGGGCCAGGCACAGCCTGTAAACTACTTGTTCTTGGGGACAGGAAAGCTGAGGCTCTGTGACCTTGGGCCAATTACTTCCTGTCTCTGAACCTCAGTCTTCTCATCTGAAAAGTGGGGCAATAAGATAATGTTATATGGTGCATTCAGCAGAGTGGCCTACTCAATAAATGTGACCAGTGACTAGCATTATCACCCTCAGGACATTTGAATGCTCTTGTTGGGAGACAAAGATCTGCTACTGCTATTCAGGACTTAGTAAGGTGAGCTGAGGGTTTGGGTGTGAAGTAGGAGACACCGGAGCCCCGTCTGCCTAGTGTGGATGGTCAGGTACATCTGTGTCTGGGTACCCAGCACTGTGGTGGTTGTTATCACTACTCACACACCTTGGATCTGCTCAGGGACAAGATCTGAGAATTCTGACCTCTGGAGCTAAGAATGGGAGCTGAAAGAATCAGAGTGGGTTGGGTTCTCGGGACTGACCAGCCTGGTCCTACAGGCTCTGTAGCTGCCAGCCTCCTGGTAGTGTGGCCTGCTCCGGGGCACAGTGTCCTTCTCAGTGTTGGGGAAACCCTGAAATGCAGGGTGCGGTGAGGTGGGGCTGTCTGTCCATGCAGCTCTGCCCAGGAGGACAGCGCCTAACCACAGTGATGCCAACCCTGGGTTCTAAGTTCTTAGTCTTTCAGGTGAGCCCTGGGATACTCTTCCCTTAGCTTGCCTCCAGCTGCTGAGTTCCCTCTAGGACACTGCCCAGGCCAATAGCCACAGACCTCTATGGTGCTGGGGACTTATCGTGGGCAAGGTAGGGTTTAGTTCCTTTCAGGAACCCTGCCATATGAAGAGGATAGTAAACTCTGAGCATCTGATTGTGTTAGGATGAGCTTTCTTGAAGGCTTTGGGGCCTGTGGGCCCGGATCCTTAGTATTTATGAATTTTATTATGACTGTGTTTGTTTAAATATATATATATATATATTTATAGCTCTATGCATCCCCCCTCCCCAGCCCCTAGTTCTTGCCCTTGGCTTTCTGTCTGGTGGCCGTATAGGGCAGCACTGTCTGCGTGCTCTTGTCTGACACTGTCTGAGTGCTGCTGTTCCTTGTGACCCTCCGGGTCTGTTCTGGGGCCAACGTGGGGCCCAAGCGTCGGGTGGTCAGTGGAGAGCGCCTGGTCTTGTAGGGGGCTGGGGAGGGCTTGAGGGGGCCTGTGTGTGGCTCCACATGGGGCAGCTCCGGGGCCAGGCCTGCTTCCTCCTCTACTTCCTCCTCACCGTCCCCTTCTTCATCATCACAGCACAGGGCGTGGTAGAGCACTTTGTCACTGAACCGTACCCTCTCCCTCGTCCCCGGGGTCCGCTGGGGTACCTGACCCTTTGCAGGGCCAGCGCTGAAGGCCTCTTCACTGGAAGAGTCTGGTGTCTCCACTCGTGGCCCGTTGGGGATGGGCATACCACCATTCATGAGCTGGTAGTCAGGGCCTGTGCCCGGCCGTGGTGCCTCAGGGCCATCCACAGAGTCTGATGGTGTAGAGACGTCCAGGAAGGAACAGAACTCCCAGCTGTCTGAGAGGATATCAGCTGTCATGAAGTCCAGGTGGCCCAGGTCAAAGGGGCCGCCCACACCCGCCTTGTCACTGCTGGAGGTGCTGCTCACAGTGGCCGTGGTCCAGTCGTCTGGCTCCAGTTCAAAGTCAAAGTCAGAGGTTAGCTTGTCGATCTGACTCACCACCTGGCCAGGGAAGGGAGAGGAGGTGAGAGGAGCTGTGTGTGTGTGTGTGTGTGTGTGTGTGTGTGTGTGTGTGTGTGTGTGTGTGTCTGTCTGTCTGTCTGTCTGTCTGTCTGTCCTGCCCTGGAGACCTCCTGGCAGGTGACTGAAAGGTGGTGACTGAACTGAAGTCACAGGTTTGTTTGCACTGTTAGGAGCCCAAACTGGGACTGAGAAGATAGCCCAGGTGGTCAAGAGTTTGCCTTACAAGCATGAGGACTTGGATTTGATTCCTAGAACCCATCTTTAAAAAAAAAAAGCTGGGCATGGTTATGCTTATAATCCTAGCCCCAGGGAAGTGGAGACAGAAGGATCTCTGGGGCTTGCTGGCCAGCCAGCTAAGCCTACTTGGCAAGTTCCGGGCCAGTGAGAGACTCAGTCTCAAACATACACAAGCCAAGTTGGACAAGGATGGACGGCCTGTGCTGTCCACTGGAGGGAGGGGTACTGCTTTTCACCAGGCACCCTGTCCAGTCACACATCCTTCTCTCTCAAATACAGCTGCTATTTAGAGTGAGGACAGGGTAGTGAACAGGGCTTAAGCAAATACTGATCGAGCGGGGGTCGGATAGAAGGGATTGAGGGACTCCAGCAAGCCTGGAGACCTCCCAGCTGCTGGCTGTAGTATCTGGACTTGAAGTCAGTGGAGAGAAATGGCAGGATAGTCATAAAGAAGACCCTGTCCAGTCTTACAAAGTATCCTGGATCCATCAGTTAGGGACTCACTCAGGGATCTCTTTCCAACCCCGGGGACTGGAACAACAGGTGTGTGGCACTGGCTGAGTCACCCTCCCCTTCTACCCTCATGCTCTGGAACCTCCTCCTTCCTTGCCTTCCCTGTCCACTGATGAATGGAGATCAATCTCAGCTTGTTGGGAAAAGGAATAAAGCCAGCATTCTTTGGGAAGCAATAAAGAGACCATCCACCCTGGCCCAGGGATGATTGTTAAAGCCACTCATGGGGCAGTTCATCTGTGGAGGTCACTGCACCCTGCTCTGTCTGCCTGGCCTCTGGGCAGGCAGCCCTGCCTGCAGATATACACCTGTTTGTGCTGTTGTCAGCACATATATCAGGGTAGAACACAGCGAGAGCAGGAGGCATGTTAGGTAAAGGCCTAGAGAGAGGATAGAGCATGAGGGTGAAGAGAGCAGAGTCGGGCCAAGACTCAAACATAAACAATAAAAACCAGTGGAGGGAACAAGTGCCCGGGCCACAGAGACTCAGGGACAAAGACATCAGGAACTGTATCCAGCTCCTAGCATCTGGCTGGCATTATCTGCCTGGGCTCAGGGTGGTCAGTTAATAAGTTAACTAGGCAAGCCCTAACCCAATACTCATCACTGGGAACTGCTACCATGAAACGCTGTTCCATGCAGGGTGAGGGGTGGGTGGCAAGTGCCCCGAAGTAAAGCAGAAAGACACTGCCTGCAGCATCTGGGTCAGCGGGAGACGGGCTGTAGCTGCAAGTGACTGTCCCTATTCCCCTTAAGGTCTGTTTCTCAATCTCTAAGTGGGTGAGCCAGCTTACTTCTGAGGGAGATTCTAGGCATCTGGGTCTGTAAGAGTCAGTATGGGAAAGTGTTTAGGTGGTGGACACCCTAAGCCAGGGATAGAACTTCTCTGCTGTGGCCTGAAACAAACCTTGGGGACAGACTTTGGGCCAAGTCACCTAAGCTTGCTGGAACTCAAAATCATTTACCACCAAGTGCCTGGCCAAAGGCATTGGCAGAGCTTAGCAGGGAGCATCAAGGATGGTGGGAGGGGCCCTGGGATCAATGTGACAACATTTCATGCCTTGGATCACCTACTATGTGCCAGGTTTTCCACTGTACATCCTCGAGATCATAATGCTCCCAGCCTATGCCTCTTATTTTCAAAGGCACTGGCCTGGTGGCCTGGGTGCTGGGGCAGCCTCAGGAGCAGCTCTGCCATTAAGGCAGTCGCATGCTCAGATGGGACTCCCTGATCGGTGACTTTCACCAGCTGCTACAGCCTGAGGCCGGGGGTGCCGGAGGAAGCTGGCGTTGAATGGCTTGGCTGAGATCCAACAGACTCAGCTGAAGCCAGGCTGAGCAGAGAAGCCCAGCTTCTTGGAGCTCAGCAGGAACAAGTACTGTCAGGCCCCAGGCCTGAGGGATAGATAGCAGGGATAGCCCAGGTCTGCCCAATAGGAGTCTAGAAGTCTGGGAACCCAGACATGGTCCTTTCACTGAGGAACCCCTGGATGGCCAGCTGTTCTCATTGGATCCCTTTCCTTCGTTAACATCCTCTTTTGGTTCTGCACAGATACGGTGGAAGGGAGAGAAGGAGGTGGTCTTTAGGTCTCACATCTGCCCCCTCTTGGAGGTGAAATTGAAGGCAGGTGATAATCCAGTTCTGAGTTGTGGTCTCTGACTCTTACACCCCTCTCCTTGCTCAGGGAGATGAAGATGGACAAGATATCGCCATACTTTAAACTACAGTGTCAGAACAACCAAACCTGTCAGTACCTGGGCTCTGCAGCCAATGCTGGACTCCAACCCTGACTTCACTACCTACGAGCTGTGCAGCCTTAATCAAGTTACTCAGCTTTCAGCCTCTGTTTCTTCATCAGAGAATTCCAATAGAATTCTCTCTGCCTGAGAGCTGCTGCAAAGACCTAACCCAATGCCCCTGGGAATGCATGCAGAACAGTGTAGAACAGCAACATCTACCTCGCACCAGTGAGCATGAGCTCACACCCAGACCCAAGAGCAGCTGGGAGTCAGGTTTTCACCTAAGACATGCCACGGTGATGGGCAGCTTTCAATGCCTGTTCAGAATGCTGAAGCACGGTAGGTGTGCCTTCCACGGCCTGTGGGCCAGTATTGCCCATTTTTGCCTGAAGTGTGGGTGTGTCCATTCAGAGTAGCACTAGGCTGAGAGGTCCATTGAGGCCCATGGCTGCGAGGCTTACAAGCAGATCTGGTTTCCCAAGGACTTGATAAGTGACAGAAGTGAAGGTGTGAAAGGGAAGCCACATGCCCACAGTACCCAGCTTCTGTGTAGGGCCATGATCAGCTCATCAACCTGCTAACCCTTCCCTGGTGTCTAGTTTCACAGGTCAACGTGGAGAGATAGTGTGGAACAGGTCCATGCTACCTGCCTCTCTGCTCTGGCTGTCTTGGAATCTGTGATTTCTCTCCGAGATTTAATAATCATTTTGCCTACATGTAATTTGGGATTGTCTTGGAGTGCAGAGAAATAATTATATACACAGAAGGAAAGAGGGGGAGAAAGGAGAAAGAACCAGAAAAATCTCTAAGCTGGGGGGACTAGACAGACACTGCTGAATCTACCAGTGCTATTGTGTTTACTGACAGGGAAACTGAGGCCCAGCACCTGGAAAGAGCTGAGTTAAAGCCAGAAGTGGAGTCATGACTCCTGGGTCTGGCGTCTTAGAAACAAGACTACTCTGTCCCAGAGGGGCCAAGAGTGAGGGCTTGGGAGGGAGGGCAGGGCTGAGATAGAACATAGCCCTGTCCCAAGGGTGTCCCCAGCCTGTCTTGATCTCAGTGTTACCCACCAACAGTAACTTCCTGCCAGTGCCTTCTCCATTCTCTACAATAGATTTCCTGATCAGCATCAGGACCACATCACCCCTCTGCTTCCAACCCTTCCCTGTTTCCCAAACTCCTGAGCCTTGCAAACACCACCCCCTCTCCCCTCCAGCAAATGGCCTCCCCCTCATCTCTGCACATTTTACAGTGCTGGAGCTCCAGCTGCCACTGGGCTCACCTGGCATGCCCTCCCTCCCACCATTCATCCCTCACTTCCTGGAAGAATCCTGCTGGTCCCCAGCTGAGGGCGATATTGGTCACAGCTATACTTTTATGCATGTGTGTTGTGATGTGGTTGATGTCTACCTCCCTACTAGACAGTAGGCCTAAGAGAGGGCAAAGTTGGATCTGTTTCCCCCACCATTGTGCCCCAGATACTGGCCCACTCTACAAACACAGCTGGAGACTTCCTGAAAGAAGGCGGTGAGGTCTCTTTGCTACAGACCTGGACCACCAGTAGACTTGGCTGATGTCCCTCTCAGATGAATGCATGCATGCATGCATGCTTGTGTGCGTGTATAATACGTGCACTGTGCCTATTATTATGTGCGTGTGCATTTGTGGGTGCACATCCCCTGGGGCCCAACAGCCAGTGCCGAGGGATCCAGAATCCCAGACCTAGTGTCCCCCCTCCTTCCCTCTTTCCCAGCTCCCTGGGCAGCTGGTTACATAACTGGGGATCCTGCATTATTTATGACCACTGATTATTTTTTAATTCTGTGATTACATTGTTTATTATCTTCCTGGGGGGGGCTGTGGCATTGGGGAGATGGGGAGTGAGCTGACCATGATTCATGGCTCTCATCCTGCAATTTGGCCTAATTGGCTAGGGAGCCTCTGTGAATCTGTCCGGAGGAGGAGAAGGCAAAGGAAAAAGGGAGGAAAGGAAGGCATGAAAAAAATAATAAGAAAAAAATCCACCCAAGTTGTACTAAGCTGCTGGTACTGAGATGACCCACTTTGGTGCAGCCCTGTGGTTCCCGGTTTTTTCCTGCTCCAGCTGCTTTCTGGTAAGCCACGTTTATTTATTTCTAACTAGCAAGGTCTGTGGCTCTCCCTGCCACCTTTACACATGGCACCTGGCCGACGGACAGCTGGCAAACAGGCTGCCACAGAGCCTGCTTCCTATGTAAACCAGGTGGTGGAACCCTCCACTGCCACCTCAGGCCGAGGAGAGCCTGTGCCTACCCCACTCTCCTGAGGTTCTTGGGACACAGAGGTGACAGCACCCTTAAGTTAGATCCTACTCTAGACTCACTGATGATGTGGGGGTACAGGTGATCAGTAAAGGATCACTTTTGAACCCCCATGGGCCAGGAAGAAACAAGTACCAGTTCAAGATGAACTCAAAATCTGATGGGCCACGGATGAGGACCCCTCACCATGCCTGTGGAGCTGAGTTTTGTGGGCAGCAGGGGGAACAGCAGGAAGGCAGAGTCTCACCCAGGAACATAACCAAGATATATTAAAAGTGTGTGGGCTTCTCACTGACAGCAAACTTGAGTTCCATTCTCTGATGCACAGGCTCCATGTGATACCCTCCCTTGCCCCACCCCCAGACCCTTGGCCCTCTCTGCCTCACTTTCCACTGGCTTCCTGATGATTGGGCACACTCCCTCCTCAAGAGCCTGGTGTCACAGCTGCCACCACCTTCAATACTTTTCCCCCTAGATGTCTGCTGACCTTGTCCCTTCTTATTTCTATGCATCTCTGCTCAAAAACCACTTTACAGAAGCCCTGTAGTACCTCCATCCCCGTCACTGTCTCTCTCTTTTCCTCACTGGGTAGGGGATGGGACTACTTTCTTCATGTGATAACCTATTAGAGGTTCCTACCAGGCAGCCAGGACCTGGCCCTGACCTCCCTGCTTTTGGCTAAAAAGCTCATGTGACTCTAGAAAACAAGGCTGTGCAGGGAAGTGCTAGACTTGGTCAGTAACAACACCTCGTGGGTGGCCCAGTCCTAGCTCTATGGGAGAACATTTGCCTCCTATGTATTAGGGCCTAGGTGTGATATCTAACACTGCAAAGCAAAAACAAAACAAAAAGGATATGTTTGCATATATGAGAGAGCATAGAATGAGCTGCTATCTTCTTCTTACAGATGGACCAACAGAAGCACAGAGAAGAACTTCCCTAAGTTCACACAGTTCGGGAGGCAGCTGTACTAAGAACTGAACCAGGAATGTCTGGCTGCCTGGCATGTGCTCCTTGTCCCTTGGGATGGCCTATGTCTCTGACTGAGATCCAGGGAATCTGGGGAGTTTAGGGAGTCTTCTGGGATCAGCCTAGCGTCCTGGAGTACTAAGGAACCTGGGAGAAATGAGGGATAATTAATGTCTGTCATGTCACATCCCTGGGCAGGTCAATTTCAGCTTTCAAAGTGCTGGGGGCTAGAAGGATGGGGAGAGGGAACGCCACATCCTCTGGAAGTGTGAGTAGGTATTGGCCCTCCTCCTTCATGCTAAGCCCACAACAACCTTGCAGCGTCACTGGGAGGGACAAGTCATCAGTAGCCCCATTCAGAGAGGGACAAACAGAGGCTCAGGAAGAAGGCTTTGGTGGCTTTCATCTTTTGGCTAGTTTCAGGCATTGTGCTCAGGTAGGGGTGTGTGTGTGTGTGTGTGTGTGTGTGTGTGTGTGTGTGTGTGTGTGTTTGGGGCTGTCTTCTGGGGGTCAGAGGTGTCAGGCAGGGAAGAGGAGGTACAGACAGCAGGATGGGGAAGGGAGGACAGAGGAGAATGGCAGAACCTGCTCTTTGCTGCTTGGTTCTTTCAACAAGGTTCCCATGCAGTACCCCTGCCAACCCTGCATGTAACTCTCGTCTCCATACTCAAGTATTTGGTTTGAGCTGGTGGAGATGAGTAGGTACTGCCCAGGAAGTAGGGTATAATGAGGGGACAGGGTCTTGTTCACTTAACCATGGGCCCACCCATAGCCCTGATAGAGAAACACCACAGAGGGCCTGAACGGAGCCAGACAGATCAGCTTTATGTCCTCCTGCAGGATCTAGAACTACATCACAAGTCTGAAACCAGGACCTGAGACCTGTAGGCACTCCTGTCCCCAACAAACCCCAGCCCACAGGAAGTTGGTTATGATAGCTCTTCTGCTTGAGTCTCCTTTCCTCTCTGCCCATTACCCTATGCATACTTCCCCTCTCTGGGGGACTAGGGAGCTCTGAGGCTCAACCCCCCACCCAGCTGGGTACCATTGGCAGCGGACAGGCAGTGGCATACGGGGTAGACGCTGGTTTCCATAGCAACCTGCCAAAGTCTTGGGTGGAGACACATGGCCTACAGATGTGGGGGAGGGGACTCATCACTCTATCCTGGTTCAGACCTCTGATGTGCACAGACTATCACTTGGAGCTCTGGAGTAAGGGGCATGGGAGTCAGTGAGCATGAAAGGGAAGGAGGGGACATTTAAAAGCTCCACAAATTAACCCTAGCACTTGGGCACCACATCACAAATCTCTTGGGAGCTCCTGTCAAAATGCCGAGGTTATACATTAGCCAACCTGCTGAAGCTTCAAACTGGCATTGGAAATCTTGAATTCTAGGCTCAATTCTGTCACAGGTGGGTTGTGTAGCCTTGGGCCAGCCCCTATTCCTCTCTGAACCTCAGTTTCTTCTATAGTAAGTGGACAGAGCTTGCCTGGACTACCTGTGAGATCCCTTCAAGTTCAGGATGAGTATGCTGAGGGAGAAGTGGTACAACACTGGGAGTTGTACCAAGGCTGACTCCAAGGATTATATAGACAATACCAGCTCTGGTTGGGGTCCCATGTCCTTGCCTGAGATTGAAACTTTGGACAGTTCCCATGGCCCTGATAAAACCAGAGCATCCAGAATAAAACAGGGTAGGAGAGGATACCCTAATCCTTAGGATTTGCGAGGTCAGAGAAAGGGTTGTTCAGGGACCTATGGCCTTCGGCTTTTGAATTGTATTATGGAGTCCAGATCGCAGCAGCCAGGGATGTGGGCAGGCACACCACCACCTCTGCCTGCCTGAAGCATCAGTTGTTCCCACCTCTGGAGACAGGATCTCCCGGCAGGTTTCATGAAGCAGACCTCAGGCGCTGCATTACCCTAACAAGCCTGACATCTCTGTCACCCTCCAACTCACAGCTCCCTTCAAACAGGCCCTCTCCCTGCTTTGAATTCAGGCCATGTTGGAAAGCCACATTGCTCACAGCCTGCCCCATCTCCTCACTCTCCTACAGCCCCCTCCCCCATACACAGCTGGTAGGGGAGCTTGAATTCATAACTCAGAATGATCCATTCTCTCCCCATCTCTGCAGGGGCCAACAAGGAGTTGAAAGTTGCCTAAAGCCCACCTGGCTGGTGAAATGGTACCCAGTGGACAAATTCAGGCCAGCGGCTCAGAACGCTGGTCATGCATTTTGGACTTGAACACAGCCCAGGGGGTAGGGTGGAAGACATGTGTACCTCATTACTCCAGCAATGTGGGAAGCAGTAATTAAACTGGGCTCTGATTAGAAAGACAGAGAGGGTTTCTCGGTGACTTTTTGGTCTTTGCAAAAACCACCCAGAAGCATGCCCTGTGAGAGGGGGACGCATATCCATAAAAAGACCTGTCTCCTCCTTAGTGCACAGAAGGACCTCTGATCCCCACAACAGCTCCCAGCCACATTTAGGACAGGGAGGCCACAACTGGTTTTAACCCCTCTCCCCTTTTGGAAATGAAGGGTTTGGAGGATCTGTATGATCCCTGAAGTAATACTTTTTGAGCTGGGCCTCAAGATGTGGGGATTGACTAAGTAGAGCCATTCACAGTCTCCCGAAGTCCTTGGTCAGAATCTGAGAGGTAAATAGTGGGGTCAAGGGGCATCTTGGATTTCAGAAGGAAGTGTCCCATGAAGAATGGACTGGGGCAGATTTAGTCCTCAGGGGGCACCCTGAGTGCTAACTATAGAGCTGGTCCCACTGGCACCTGCTCAAGCAGCCACCAGCACACCAAGGCCCCACCAGCTCCGGGATAGTGATTCTTTTTAGCAAAACAGACTTGAGGAAAGGAGACCGGGGAGGGTGGTCCTCTGTGGAACCGGCCATGTGCACACTCAAACACGCATAAGTGTTTGATGCTGAGCCCAGTCAGGCAGGGCTTGGGGTCTGTGTGGCCCTTGCTCGTCTCTCACTCACCTCCCTCAGCTCCTTAGCCACTTCTTTGAGTTCCCTCAGGATGCCTTCAAGTTGCCCGATGACCATCTTCATGCGCTGTCGAATCCGCTCTCTCTCTCCACCACTGTTGGGGTCGTCACTGGGCTGCCCGAGGTCCGGGGCACCCCGAATGTTCATCCTTCACCACGTGGCTGCAAGCCTGCCCATACTCGCCCCAGCGGGGCACACGCTTTGCCTGCCTCCACGGAGCCCCCCTCGGCCGGGCAGAGCTCCACATTTTAACGGCCCCCCAGCCTACCCTGGCCTTGGGCGGCCCTCACCCAGCCCCTGCAGCCTGCCACTCGACCTACTCTGTCTCTGGGTGGGGGGGTGGAGCACCCAGAGGGAGACAGAGTCTGACTGGGTGGGGGGGGTCAAGGTGAGGACACAGGAGGGCAAGGGGAGGGGCCTCAGGGCCCAAGAACAGCTTCCAGGACTTGAAGTGCCTGTGGTGTACAGAGCTGATCTTTGCCTGAATCTGGGTGTGGAGGCAGGGGGATGATTCTGCAAGGACTAAGGGTAAGAGATGCCTTGGGATGGGGGAAGGCAGCAATCCCCTCGAAACTCCGAGGCGGTTACAAAGGCAGAGGTCTCTAGATGCAGCCGAACCTGCAGAGGGACGGTGGTCAGGGTCTTCCAGATGTGGAGGGTACTCCAGATGTGAACAGCGCTGGAGAGGGACCTGGATTGGAGGAGGGCAGTCTCCTGCAGAAAGAGCGAGCCTGGCGTCAGCCCTCCCAGGCTGCTGCACCAGCCTGCTGCTGCCTCCCTCTTCTCCCTGCCTGCACCCTCCTTCCTCGCTGGAGATTTATTTATTTATTTTTGTGGGGAGGGGGGGTGGAGGCAGATGGTTTTCAGCACACCCCTCTTCTATAGGGAGAGTGGAGGAGCCCCTGGTTTAGGGGCATAAGTCCTCAGCCTCCTCTGGGGCACTCTAGCTGTGGTCGTGCTCCCCCCCATCCCCAAGTCACCAACCAAGCTTGGGCAGACTGGTTTGAGTACATGGCCTCTCCAGTCTTCCATCCTTTTTCCAATGCCCACAGGGTGCCCTCTTCCCCAGCGGACCTTTCTTTCCCCAGCCCCGCCTTCCCTCCAAAGCTGGACTCCCCTACTCACAGAGGTGGGGGCACCGGCCTTTCCTCCAAGCAGCGTCGGGGGCCGAGCCCCAAGACGAGGTTGGGGGGCCCCCAAGGCTCCCCTAGGGCGGGCTTCTCTCTCTGGACCCTTCGGCTCCTGGCCTCAGGAAGGTCCTCCGAGCGGTGACCGGAGACATCTGGGCGGTGGGAGGGGGCGGGGCCTCCGCGTTCCCGGGAAGGGGGAAGGAAAAATCTCCCACCACGTTTGCCAGGCTCCGGGTCGCGAGGGTCGGGAGGGCTCTGGGACCCCGAGGCCACAGGTGACTCGGGCCGAGGCGAGGACGGTCCGGTCCGGGCGGTTGAGCCAAAGTCGGAGGGCTGGGGAGGGCACCGGGATCCCCTCAGCCCACGCCCGGCATTCCCCGGGCTCCGCAGGGTTCGCGATTCTCTCTGTCCAGTCCAGTTCGGCGGGTATGGGCCCCTCCGGAGTCTGTCCTGCCCCTGGCTTGCCTTGCCCTTCCCGAGCTGGCACTGTCAGGCGTCCGGAGTGCACTCAGCCGGGACCCAGCGGGACCCAGAATGTCCGCGCTCGGGCTCGGGCGGCGTCCGGAGCGGCCGCAAATTCCGCTTAGCCTAGCTCGGCAATCGGCTCGATCCACGGTGGGGGAAAGTCCGGATTCCTTCGAGTCCCGGGGGAGGGGCGGCGGCGGTGGCCTGGGGGACCCAGTTTCCAGTACAGCAGAGACGAGCGCACGAGGTCTGGGGGCCTCGCCACGGCAGGGCTGAGCAGAAGAAGCAAAGGAGAGCAGAGTGGGCCACCGAGGCGCCAGGGAGGCGATGGAGGAGGCGCGGCGGGCCCGGCTGGGCACACGGGGCGCGCAGCCTCCGCTAGGCTCCACCGCCTCCTGCGCGCTCGCTCACGGCTCCACGCCTCGCGGCCCCGGCGCCAGGTGGCTTCCGATGGGGCAAGAAGGCACCGGGGCGGCTCGGGCCTCTCTCCCAGGCTGCTTCGCTCTCGCCCTGCCTTGCGCTGCCCGCCCGGCTCCGCGGGCCTGGCCGGCTTCCCCCGAGCGCCGCCGCGCCCCGCCGGACTGGCCGCCCGGGCGGGCGCTGGCTCCCTCAAAGGCCGCTGGGCTCGCGCGGCTCCGTTCGCCTCGGCGCTGGCAGGGAAGGGGCCGGCCCCGCGCGCCGGGAGGGAGCTTTTAAAGCGACACACACGCCTCCCAGCGCCCGGAGCAGAGCGCGCGAGCCAGGGGGTCTCGCCACCCTAGGGAGCCGGAAGGACTGGGCGCTGGCGGAGCTGGAGAATGGCTAGCCCGGCCGCCTGCCGCTGATCCGGGCGCACAGAGGCCGGGACTTGATTCCAAGTTCCCTCACCTCCCTTTCACACAACCACTTGGCTCTCCTTCCCCTACTGCGGTGCTCCCGGGGCTTCCCTTTCTAGCTGTTTCCCTCCTCTGCCATCATACCTCAAACTGCCCCAAATCTTGTGTGTCAGTTCAGTAAATAGAATCCAACCAACCTTTACCGAACACCTATTGTGTGTGCTATGCTCTGGTTGAGAGGGAGGGGTTGGTGAGTACTTGGGTGTTTCAGATGGTTCGGTTCCCCTTGTTCATCATCTAAGTTCTCAACAGTTTTTGTTTGTTTTGTTTCGTTGTTTTTGTTTTGTTTTGTTTTTTCTTCCAGGGCCTCCAGTAGGCCTTGATTCTAGCTAGTTCTGTCGAGGAAGAAAAGTAACCCACAACCACGAGGACATTCTTGAGCAAACCGAAGGGTGGTGCATGCAGAACACAGGCAAGTTCTAGAAGCTAAATGGTACTTGGAGCTGGCTGGAATTATGGGTGTCAAGGAGGAAGTGCAGGCCAGGCACTCGCCCCCCACCCATAAAGGGTCTTCCCAGGAAAACAGTCCTTGAGCTGAATCTTAACAAGGAAGTAGGAGCCCTGGTGGGTGGCCTGGGGGAGGGGAGATCAGCATCCCAAGAGGGAAGGTGGGTGGGAAGAGGGCTCAGGAGTAGAAGTAGGGGAGGGCAAGTTGATACCATTGGAGGACTGTATGAAGTCTGACCGAGGAAGACTGAATCAGGAAGACAGGAGACCATGGTAAGAAGCTTGGAATTGATCCTGTGGCAGAGGGGACCTGTGTGTGCACGGGGCCAGGTACTTTCCTGGGCGGTGGCACTCCTGGCAGTCAATGGTGGGTTTGAGGAGGCCACAGCCAGCTGCCCAATTAGGAGGTTCTTGCTGTGCTTAAGCTGTGGGAGGCCAGTCAGAGTAGCAGCAGAGGTGTGGGGGAAGGAGCTCTGCTTGGTAAAATCACTTAGTGATTTCTTTAGGCTCCGAACCTGGGGAAGTAGCAGGGCGTCCTGTACTCCCAATTTACAGGTGAGGCTGAGTAAATGCTTGTGTGTATTTGAGTGATCTGGGGTGAAAAACAGATGTTTAGGATTGGCAGAGAAGGAAAATAGATCTCTATTCATAGAAGGGCTAGGGCTTGACAGTGGCAGGCTTGTGGTGGTTATTTTGGCTTATCCTTAGAGGAGATGAGTTATTAAGCACGTTAGCTGTGCAGAAGTAACATTAGCAGCATCAGCACCAGGCTGGCAGCTTGGAAGAGTCCAGGAGTGAGGTAGGGGAAGTAGTAGTCAGGGAGGTAGGAACAGAGTCCAGGGAGTGGAGTTGTGGGCCCAGCGTGCTAAGGCTCAACACAGTGGTGTCAGAGGCTGCTCATGAGAGAGGGAAAGTGCTCACTGGCCTTCACACTCAGGAGGTGACTGGTGACAGGCAGGGACAATTTGCTCTGTGTGTAGGTGGGTGAGTAGGGAATGACTAGAGCTGAATTGTTGGGATTTAAGACTGAATGGCTGGTGAGGAAGACATTTCAAAAGCTGGGTAGACAGGAAGTCAAGCGCCTGAACTACAGAGGCAGGGAGGGCTGGGGACTTGGAGCTGGCTGGAATTTTTAGGTGGCTTAAGGGGTCCAGGATTTAGGACAGTAATGGTGGTGTAGGTATCAATTGTTCAGAGGTTATGTTCCCAGAATCTTCTAGAACCACCAGGGAGTTCCTCCTCTGCTGTCTTTTGATGCTACCTAGCTGTCTGGGCTTGGGGTCTGGTTCATCTGGGGAGGTGACTCCAGAGATCCCACCAATAACTTGGCTTAAATTTGTGATAAAATGCATATAGTAGCACATGTACCATTTTATCTAGAGTCCATAGGTCTGTGGCATTAAGGTACATTGCGTGGAAGACACACACAGTCCCAGCCTTGCTTCTGCAGAAGCTATGATGCTGGGGGACAGCCAGCACCAAGCATGGACTAAGTCTAAAACAGTAAATGAGTGTGTCACCTTAGGCCTGGAACTATCTGCTATCAGCCACAGTAGGGGTGATTCACTTGAACTGGGAGTGTTGGTAGCCTGTGAGGTTTCAGATTAATACTTACTAACTGATCTTGGGGCCCTTTAGGACATTCCGTGCTTAGGAAAGGGGAGGTGACATTTCTTTTGTCTTCTGTGTGGCTCAAACTGTGCTTAGGACCTGTCCATAGCTGGACTATCCAGGGGGGCAGCAAGATAGAGGATGCGGGGTGGGGGTGGAGGCAGTGTACCAATCCTGTGAAGGATGGTTGGGCCCCCTGGGGTAGACTGGAGAAGAGCAAATTTAGAGGTGCTTCTGATTGGAAATCTTGAGAGGTCAGCCATAGAATGGAGGGATCAGACAGGTGTGGGGGTGTTTAGACTTGCCTCCCCGAGTTTGGGGGTTACTACTCTCACTGCCCTATGTGCGGCCAGCTGTTCCATCCTCCAGGCTCAGCTCTGCTCTGCCCACTACCTCCTCCATCCCAAGTACTCTTCCCTAATCCTTTAGAATGCAGGAAGCATTGTTTTGCCCTTAACCAAATACTTCCCAGGACGTTTATTTGTGTGACCTTGAACAAGTCATTTAACCTCTGTAAGTGGGGATAAGGGACCATAAACATTTTTATATTTTTCTGAATTGGCTATAGGGACAGAGCGGCAGGGGAGACTGTTGCTCCTTTTTTTAAATTATTGTTTCTTCCACTCAGTAAAAAAGTGGGATGACCACAGTGCCCACTTTCCAGGATAGTGCCTGGCCCCTGTAGGTGCTCATAGATGGTACATGTTATCAGCTCTTATTAGCGTCTTCATGCCTGTAAATGTATTTCTCTTGGAGGCTGCGAACTCCACGTGGTGATGTCTGTGTATGTCCTCCCTGTCTCTGACATGGACCCGTGAAATGGATGGTGACAGCTAGTGACTCTTACCTCTCTTCCCTGATTTCCATCCTCTCACTTCTGACATTCCCTTTGGGAAATGTCTCTCTATTGTCACATATTCGTGGTGGGTTGTCAGTTAAAATGCCAATTCCTTTCATCCATCCCTGCTCTACTGCCATCAGGTAGACCTGTGACTCAGATGGCACCAGCCGTAGACCCCCATCCTCCAGCCACAGTGATTGGTCCAAGGTGTGGGCATAGTACCAGCCAGACTCCTTCTTGGGATGTATGTGTTAATGATGGGAAGAAGAATGTTTCTTCTTTTTTAGATGCCTGATAGATACTATGGGCATCTTTCCCACCCAATGTAGGAAGCCAAGCAGAACACAAGAGGGTTTTAGAGAGGATGTTGGTAGCATCAAGTCCCAGCTATGGCCCTCATGACCTTGGCTCCTGTCCCTCTTCTTTCATTCCTGCAAGCTGTAATATCTTACCCTCCTACAAAACTTCTCCTATTATTAATTCCTCATAGTTGATTGCCCGAAGTTCCTGAGGTCAAAAGGCTACCAGCAGCTGCCTATGGCCAAGGAGAGGAGCATGAGGGCTTGGGAAATTACTGAATCAGGCCACCTTGGGCTTGGGTCTAGGTATTGCATTTGCTAGCTGTGTGATCTGGGTTGTTTGAGTTTCTTTGTCTATAAAATGGGAAAAGTGGGGATGAGGAGATTGCTCACCATACTTAACACTCTTGTGAGTGTGAGGACCTGAAAGCCAGGCATAGTGGCTCATGTTTGCAATCCCAGTGCTGGGGTAGTGGAGATAGGCCCACTGGGCAGCCAGCGTAGGGTAATTGGTGATTGCCAGGCCAGTGAGACACCCTGTCTCTAAAGAGGTGGATGGCAGTCCATATGTTCACATGTCCATTAACCATGTGACCAAAAATCATAGTTCCCAAGCCCCAGTTTCCCTCCTTGTCAATAGTTTGGTGGTAGTTGACTGGAGAACTAAGTAAAACAATCCATGTATAGTACTCAGCATAGCACTTAGCAGGCATTCAGCAAATATTAGTTGTATTTTCTGAAAGTTTTCTGAAAACAATGGTTGGAATGAAAGGATCACACCCAACCTCCTGGGAAATGTCTCCCAATAAAGGGTTTAGAGAGGGACACATCTGATGCGGAAAACAAGATAGCCCATGATAAAACCAAATTTAAACAATATTTATCCATAAACCCAGCCCTACAGAAAGTACTAGAAGGAAAATGCCAACCCAAGAAAATCACCTACATCCACAAGAACACAGGAAATAGATGAGCTTACAGTAGCAAACCCCAAAGAAGGAAATCAAGCACACAATGCCATCACCACCAACAAAAACAAAAATAACAGGAACTAGCAGTCACTGGTCATTAATATCCATTAATATAAATGATCTTAATTCACCTATAAAAAGACACAGGCTAACAGATTGGATACAAAAACAGAATCCATCCTTCTGCTGCATACAAGAAACATACCTCAAACTCACAGACATTACCTCAGAGTAAAGGGTTGGGAAAAACTTTTTTCAATCAAATGAACCTAAAAAGCAAGCTGGTGTGGTGTAGCTATCCTAATATCTAACAAAATAGACTTCAAACTAAAATCAATAAAAAAAGATAAAGAAGGACATTTCATATTCATCACAGGAAAAATCCATCAAGAGGAAATCTCAATTCTGAACATCTATGCTCCAAACACAAGGGCTCCTGCATTTGTAAAAGAAACATTACTAAAGCTTAAATCACAAATCAAGCCCCACACACTAATAGTGGGAGACTTCAACACCACACTGTCACCACTGGACAAATCTGCCAGATGGA